CAGCACCAGAACGTCCACGGCCAGCCCAGCGCTGCGCTGCCCGCGAACGCCCCCGCCACCTGGAACGCCAGCACTGTGCCGAACTGCGACCCTGCACACCATAACAACTAAACTATTATAACAAATCTAACGATTAAAACAAGGACAAATTTCAAATGGGACTAAAAATTATATTATTATCGATATTATTCAACTTAATGTTTTGTCATCAAACTTGCAGAGGATCGAGCGGAAGGAACAATTTATACGAAACTAGCTGTTGCCCGCGACTTCGTCCTGCAAAATTTGAAAGTTCATATGCTACTAATGTTTAGGAACCCTTAAAAATCATCTTTCTGGACTCCGATGTTAAAAATCACTAAATTTTAACTTTTCTTGGCTAAAGGTTTAGAGGTATATAAAAATGATGTATCGAAGAATTATATGTCTCAAAAAGTTCTACAGAAAAGTCCGCGATGGCATGTAATTGTCCTTAACGGTTTTCTTACAATAACCACTTTTTGTTTAGAAATTGCAATTAAAAACCGCAACAATTTGCGGCGATTATTTATTAGTTTTAATATTAATCCTTATCTAAGTAACTACTAAGAAAGAAGGTCGAGGTGTTTTAGGCTTCCTTCATATTTATCCTTCAAAGGTTGAAAAAAGGAACCAACATAAGCATTGAACTTTTATATTCCACGTGTACCAAGTCGCGGGCAACAGCTAATCTTAAAAATAGGAACAGTTCTTAATTATTCAATTAAAAACATTGTAACGAAATGTTTTTTCATTCATTCGGACATCAAATTACATAAGATTTTAAAATGATTTTATTTTTTAAATTAGCATTGTTTTAAGTTTTAAATATTTTTATTTTTTTTTTAAATACATAAATCATTTTAAACGCTAAAAAACCATCTTAATTTTAAATTAAAAACGAATCCTATGGGAACCGTAACTATTTTCGGGATGAAAAGTAGCCTATGTGTTCTTCCAGACTATGCTCGACATCTGTTCCGAATTCCACGGAGATTCGTTCTGTCGTTTAGGCTAAAAACTCTACCAAACATCCATCCATCTAAACTTTCGCATTTATAATATTAGTAATATTAAATTAGCAGCATAATATTATTGAGGAGCGAATNGACCGGGCGGCGCGGGGCTCCGGCAGATCCCATCTTTTGTTTTGTTTACTCTCGCTTTGTTCAGGTAGTCGTCTAATCTTAGCATTGTTCTCCTAATGTTTGTATAAAATGTACTGTGCCGGATATTGTTTTGTTTTTCTTACATTTGCAGTTACAAGTAGCTATTTGTTTAGCGCAGTTGAAAATTAGACTACGTTATTTTCTTACGGACAATGTGTGTATTATTTTTACCATAAAAAACATCAAAATCTTAGAAAAGATGTTTTAGAAGTAAATACCTGAGCGGCTACAAACGAGCGACCGTACCGCGCCGCGTGGACAAGGTAATCTCCTTAAGTAGAAAATTTCCCGTTTTCACATTGAACTAATTACGTTTCGTAAGTAAATTCAAATTGTAATTAACGCCAGGAAATAGGAGCGGAAATACGTCAGCAGAGCACAATTTGGCAGTAACCTCCGCTAAAGTAATCACACAAAACTCAAGCGATAATTTCATTGGCAGATTATGTTTAAAAATCTTATTATAACATTTTAATAACTGTGTATAAATGTATACGAGTACTATTGATATTTTTTTCTTTACTTGTTGATAAACACACAAACTATTGTTAAAATAAAAGTAAAAACGATGTTATACATTGCTTCATATTTTGCACCTTCATTCGCGCCTAAACTCCTTGTTTTTTTTTTAATTAAAATGTCTATTGCTTGTTTGTGGCCAGTAAAATATTAAATATTCATCCACCATATTTTTTGCAATTGAAACTTTTGTAATTTAAACCTTACAAAACATGTTACTAGTGAATATAAATACTTTTACTTTTAAATTGATGAAAACATATTCACAATTGCTGTCGGCGCCATCTAATATCAATTAATGCTAAACTAACCTGCATTATGGGGTTTGGCAATTCAGCTGCGCTATTTGCCTGGCTGGCTGCTAGTTGAAACAGGGTTGAATCATATAGTTTTACTTTATTTGTCGCGTTATACACTGATACAAACTTTGTAGTTTAGTTTCCCTCCGTTACGACAACGTTTTGCTTCAAGGGATTTCTTTATCGAAGTCAGTCAATGAAATTGTCAAATACTTTTCGATTACATTTGCCATTGCGTTTTGAATATTACTAACTGAAAGGAATGTGTACCTTCATAAAATACTGTACCGATATAATTAGCTTTTGACAAATGAACATCAAACAAGTAACACGGAGAGGTCAATGTTGATATAGGCCGTCAATTAGTTAGGAAAGATAAGTACAAAGAGTAGAGGCGAAACAGGACGATTTTATAATTTCAAACACTTTTTGTAATTTTCGTATTTAGTTCAATTCTTACGAGAGCCCTCACGAGTATTCAAATACATTACATTCACAAATATAAAGTTGAAATGGCACACGGAATAGTCGTAAACTAATTTGTGAGATTATCTTATACTTTGACTTGCAATCTCAGTGGACCACCAGAAGCTTTCTAATCTATCTACTTTATGAGGTTTCAAGGGTCCGCAAAAGTTTTCTATTAGTTGAAACTTCAATATACTCAGTTTTGATATTATTACCTACTGAGTACCCTCCATGAGTTAGTAAATAGTGAATATTTAACTAGAACTAAAGTACTACAATGTTGTGCAAGATTTATTTGTGATTTTTATCCTTATAAAATAGTTAAACCAATCATGACAATATAAATATGGTATCAATTTATTGAGTAATGCATAATACCTCTACCTAACGTATTCACGTATTGATCTAAGTACGTGATAAAGTTCGGTGTATTGTAGAAACTCCCAATTTGTAGCCACCTCAACAAACACCGAATGCAAACTTCCTTTCAGTCTAATGACAGTGATCTTAAGGCCCTACTAAAAAGACAAACAGTGAGCACTTTGTCTCGCTTTTGTAGCAAGTACTCAAGGCTAACCGAGAGGCTCCAACACGAACTTGTAACTCGCTTTAGAGGGTGTAAAGGGAGCATGCAAATTACAATTGTTTGTTTGGTATTGAGGTCACGTGACACTTGTTATGTGTCTTCATTAGTCTTATTCTGTTACTAACGAGGGATTAATTATAGTTACAGAACTAACATGAAATTAAGGGCAAGAAAATACATATGCGCCCTCGCGTTGCCACATATTAAATTAATTTGAATTTGGTGTTTTATGACATCATGTGTCGTCAAACATTTTCATATTCAGCACGAAGCGCAATATCAATGGTAAAAGCTAACCGACCTGTGTAGATGTATGTACTGAGACGGCCCCTCTCGGAGAGCGGCGCCCACTTGCCGAGCAGCGTGTGGACGCTGGGAAAGAAGGCAGCCTGCGACATGCCCTGTAGCAGCCGCCCCGCGCACACCAGCACCCAGCCGCCCTACGACAGTACACAACTATTACACCTCTCAGTCTACTAGTGAAGAGTATAGTCACTTCTAAAGAAATCAGTAAATTAGCTGAATAAAATAAACTGACTGTGTCGCGAGCTAATTAAATTGATTAGGACAATGTAATAAAACTTTTTAAAACTCTGCATTGTTTATACTAACAACAAGAGGCATCCAAGGCGTGAGCACGGAGAGCACCCCGTTGATGAACAGCGCGGCGCAGATAGGGAGCTTTCCACCGACCTTCTGCGCCAGCATACCCATCGGCAACATCATGCTCGTGTAGCCTACGAAGAACGCGAACAGAATCATCTCCTGCTGGGGCTTCGACCACCTGTACGTCTGCAACGACTCACCGATGTAGCTTATTGTATAGCATCAATCTCCTTTTCTTTAAAATACCAGAGTTTTATTATGTTTTATTTTAAAGGCTAAAACGTTTTCATTGAATATTTACCCGATAAATATTCCAACGAGACTGCCCCTCCTCCACACAGTTCTCTGCGTGACTCTCATCTACAAACTCCGTATTCAACGTAGTGTTTAAATCGTCGGAGGTCAAGTTAGTTAAGTTTAGTTTATGTCCAAGATGCACACAGGTGGAGTTGCTAGTGGAGGTGCTGCTGGTCGTCGTCATGGCGACCAGGGTGACGCTGAGGTGTGCACGCATCGAGAAGCCGATGGACAGGCTAATGAAAAGCAGCAGTGCCTGCAGGTGCCGCACGCCAAAACCTGAAGGTGACTCGATTTCTGGTGGCTCTGAGAAAATTAAGAGAACTTTTGTATTTGACGTTTGACATCATCGATATTGTGTATAGCGAAGAACAACTAAGAGTAAACGAGCATATAGTGCGGTAACTTCATAGGAGGACTCGACCGACCTTCATGTTTCTCGGCGAGGGGAACACTCGTGTAGTCAGCCTTCTCCACCGGCATGGCTTCAATGTTGTGACACACTTTGTGGGCGATTCGCATTCGACGACACCGCACCACGGACTGATAACAACTGTAAATATTTAAAGGATGATTTGTTACATTTAATTTAGCGCCGAGTACGTTTGCTCGTCTTAATGATTTAGTTCATAAACAATCATTAAACTATCGTGAAAGAAAGATATTGTGACAGACGACACTCCCAGGGATCACGATAACGACTATGTTATTTATTAAGATATATTGAATCTCAGACGCCCGCTGCTGACTATTTACTGGTTATGCTTTTGCCACAATCCTTACTATCACGTTTCCCTACATTTCCAATGTTATCACTAACTTTCTTAATTTGCATATTCGTAGATAATGGTTTAAACAAATATAAACAAATATTAACTTTGCATAAAAAATATAAAACTCTTACATGTATGTAATTAAGTTAATTATTATTATTAAAGAACTAAAACAGAATATCTAACATACTTAATAATTGAATTTACTCACATTTTTCTTGATATTATTTTTACCGTTAAAATTGTACTTCATGAAATAATTTTGTTTGTAATTATCTTAGGCTAGACTAGGCCCCAAGGCAAGGGCTTTTGATATACTTAAAACTAACAGAACATGTTGTCATTATGTTTTTAAACTAGATATTAGATTCTTGACTTCGTGACTGTAAAAATATACAGTCTTATTTTTTAGAAAATATGATAAGAAGCTTATAATTTCTACCGTTCTCTACGTATTTATTTAAATTTTGATACAAAATTACTTTTAAAAAATGTTACTCCAAACATTACAACTACAGTGGCATGATTTCAGATTCATCTCTAAACAAATACATTTATTTGATTATCGTATTTGTTGGCATGTTATCTACATTGTGTGACTGCTGCGTCCTGCGTCAGTGGAAAATACCGCAGGGCGTGACGACTTGGCGGTGTGCTGATTTGACTGCGTGGCCATTTCACGGCATGCCAAAGCAGAGGGAATATGAGGCGTTATGTCAAGATCTATGAAGAGACCACAGGAATTGTGTTCTTGACATTAATTTAAGAAGCAGTAACGCGTAATGCGATTTACTCACTCCTGTTGTACTTCATTGAGGACAAAAAAATTAAAAGATATCCAATTAACCCGATTTTAATTACGTTTCACTGTAATGCAATGTAACTATGTGTACTTCCACATATCATAAACAGAGGGAAATAAATTGGTCTGAAGTAACAATTTACCTCTTCCCCCAAATCACACATTTTACGTAATACTGCGCACATTCAGATACAGCTAATAAAGATAGATCAGACACACGAAATTAATTATCGCCGTGACATGTATTTAATTAAATTAAATGGATTCTTCTGTTAATATGCTTAGCTCACGCGGTATTCGTATTACCGATCATTTTGAATAAAAACTTTACATTTTCCATATTCTTTTTATTTATGCCTTGGTATCAAAAAAGTATAATAAGATTCGTTAAACTCATAACATAGGAAGTATTTATACAGGTCAAGCAATAGTTTCGCTCGGTCTTCCGTCGATCGTCTTCTCCGGGTACATATCCAGCAGTTCTAATTGAGTTGCATCTGTAAGAAAAAAAGTTTGTAAGAGCAAAAATTAACTTTAAAATTAGAACATCTTTAACCAAAATGAGAAGGAAACAAGCGCAAACCGACCCTCGGTGCTGAGGCCCGTGTTGTGGTAGACGAAGTTATGCCCCTCCCCGCCCCCGCCCGTCCCTGCGCGGTCCCAGCGCGCGCGACCCCCGGCCCCGCTCGTGGCCGCCGAAGCCGCGTTGCAGACACCGTACAAGCCCGCCATGATGATGAACACCACGCGCCACGCGCCGCTCTCGTTCTAGAAACACCACCATACATTAGATCACACACGTGGCGAACTTCGAACACCTGACCTAACATTAGCACTTCTAATGCTAATCTGAAATTGACTCCTCTAAAATTGTTTACATTTACTTAGCTGTTGGTACTAGAATACTAGCGTGTAGTCTTGATTCTAACCGGGTTGTAGCAAATAAATTCATCTGCGGTAGGTCGTTGATACTTTATAGCTCACCTTTTGATATTTGAGAATCATCCCAGTGAGCAAGGGCACTGCTGCGCCCGCTAAGCTGGCAAATGTACTCGTTATTACGACCAATGTACCGCAGTAATTTTCACTTAAATCATAAACGTCTTCCTGGCAACATCAAAAACCAATCAATGTTACAAAAATAAATACAGTGATTTTATAGAAAATTTATTAGAAGGAATATGGTTTTTACACACAAATGGGTGATTACGGCGCAAAAGGCAATTATTGTAATAAGATATCGAGACATTTAGATTTAAATATAATAATGAAAATGAAGGTTAATATTCTAACTCACAACAAAGCCGGAATATTGGAATGCGAGTAATCCCAGCGTAGCAATTAATACGCATAGTCTTAAATAGTCCCATTCAGCCGGCACGTTGGCGGCCACCGCTAGCCCCGACACGATCGATAAAGTTCCTGGAAACACAAACATGCTTATTGGGAAATGCGGTTATATACATTTTTTTCATTGGCTATTTTCCTTTCCTTGTCAGCATCTCCTTCATCAAGGCAATAAAATATGCAAAAGACACGTGTTTACGCTTTATTATATTAGTATAGAGTATAGATTTAATAAAAATGTCAACCTACGCCTTAAGCAGCCTACGGGTCCTACGAGATATAATACAACATACGACTTATAACACGCATATATTGACTTGGTTTATTAAATAATCAATATCAATGACGTGAATGTTGTCTGAGGAATTTTATAATGATCCCCTCGGGCTGAGAGCACTTTGTCGCTAGCTGCCTCCGACATCACATACTTGTAGCTCCACTTCCGTCGCTGATATTGCTTTATTTATTAAATTCTCGATCACAAAAATGTAAACTATTGTCTCTTTAAATGTTAGAGAATGTCAAAGACGAAAAACTCACTTAAAACAATTTAAGCGAATGTCTCCTACAACTAATACTAACTATTAGAAGTAATAATTAACGCCACCAACCTAGAGCATTGACCACTTTCCATAAGTATGTGACGTTAAGGACGTGAGCCAACAAATTGGACTTCAACAAGCAGCGGAATGTGGGACCGATGGTTGTGTAAAGAGTCAATAAAACTATGAAGGGTATCATTGATTGTACTCCGCACTGAAAATAAAAATAGCATCAGCTTATAATTATCTATCATTTAATAGTTACTTACTGTTCTAGATATAAATATATGTATAATTTCCCCTTCACATAACTACCTGTTGCAGCGTCAGTCCCGTTGACCTCAGGTACATCGGCACGTCCACCAGGTAGAAGAGGAATAGCGCGTTGTTGGCGGCGTGTGCTAGCGCCAGCCCCGCCAACCGCCGGCAGCGCAACATGCTGCGCCACGGCACGCTCAGCCTCTTCTACAACATTCACGGAATTGTGTCTAAATTACTTATTTGTTAGTACCATGTATTATGTATCATAATCATTAATGGACAAATATAAAATTAGCAGCAGTTTAAAACCTCTTAATTGATCCGAAGAAACAAACCATTCGATATCCCGCGCAAGCTTCCCTAATATACTCTTTTTCGGCGTCGGG